ATAACCAATAATCATGGAGTAAGTTTTTTATTTTCATTTTGATTATTATTATGTGTGTATGAATACATTGAAATGTTGTCACGTTAAATGGTTAATCACATAATTAGTTGATCATTTAACTGTTACACTTGAATTGATTGGTGAGTTTTTCTTGTGCGTGAATGTTGATTGATTGTCAATTAAAGGAAATAATTTAAATCATAAATTAACAATAATATTTGATCAACTGTAATTGAACAATATTCCAGGTTAAGTTAATTTACTTTTGATATTTTTCATCAAACTATTACAATTAAAAACCACTACGATAATTATGCTCAATTCCACTTGTAAAGTTCAATTAGAGAGGGAAAACTTTTGCTTCTAAACAATCAGTTTAATTGTGATGAAAATTTGATTACAATCATCAAGTTAACCAAATTAATTCGTGGTTATTATAATTGAAAAAAAGGTCAAAATGATTGATGATTAACTTAATTTGTTCAATTATTGTGTTAATTTGTATTGGGTCAAATGGTTAATTGTCTTTAATTCTCAATCAACAATTAAGTTGGTTGAAAATGAAGATGATTCTAATCATCAACGACGATTTGTTAACAAGGTTTAAGTTTTAATAGGTTGATTATTAAATTTAGTTAATTTACTAATGCTAATCACTGAATATAATCATGATTAAACTTGAAAATTACTACATCACAGAAATCACAGTTTGATACAATTAGTTAATCACTTAAGAACTGTTGATAATAATCTGATTAAGCCTGTTGATTGCGAGTAACAATCAAGAACCTAAATCAGCTATTATTAGTTAAACAGCAATACAATTAACCATTAAAAATCATTAACAATCAATGCCCAAAGAGGAAAATTAAAACCTAACAATCAACAGTCTTGACAGTCTTAATCTAATCAGATGATAAACAATTAAGACAATAATAAAATAACAAAATGATGTACAATCAAATTGTCATATATTTATTAATACTTAATCATTACAGAGTTTATCTGACACATTTTAATGATCAACAATCAAAAAGATCACAGCAATTAATCAGCTTGTAAAACAATGTGAAAATGTTTACAATTAAAGAGACAAGTAAATCAATTAATTAATTAGAATGGGCAATAATAACAATAATTTCTTGGTAATCAGTTAATTGTGAAAAATAAATTGTAGGAAAAAAAGTTCATTTATCATCAACGATTCTGTTTTCACCTTCCAATATAAACGTGCTAACGATACGATCTATTTATGTCACTCAATCAACTAATCACAGAACCTATTTAACTGATTAAGATTATGATTATTACCTTTTTTTTTATTATCATAATTGTAATCAGTTGTTAATAATAGTAAACTGAATTAGCGTGACATTTAAATCAACCTCTTATTAGAGGCTGTAAAAGCTAACAATTAACGTTTATTTAATTGTTATTTCATTTCCCGTGGAGTGATTTGAATCAACGGTGACCTTAACTTTAAGCTTTCGAAATTTGCAATTACAATTAACTAATCATTCTGATTTCAATTAGTTAAATAAGTTGATTTATATACAGAAATAAATCATTATCATTGATTGACAATTTGTTTTCCTCTTCTTTTTCTTGTTGTTGTTGATTGCAATCAAGATTAACAATTACAACTCACAAATATTACTATTACTTGATAGATTAGGATATTAATCAATAGTAAGAGTTTTTTTTTCTTATATTTAACTGAATCAAATAGTAAAAAAGTTACATTGATTCATCAAATTTAAACATTACCAATAAATCAATCAATCAGAATTCATTGAATGATTGAACAATTTAATGATTATCATCAATCCTATTATTATTATTATCAATTGAATGAAATATCATCTCGATTTGAAAGGATCTCCCATTAATAATTTCACCTTAAAAAAAGTTTCTCGAATTGTGGAAGAAAAAAGTTCTAACTCTTTCAATTATCTTCCATCATCTTTTTTTATCATCATCATCATGCTTATTATTATTATGTTTTCATGATAAATTTTTTTATTATTCATGAAAAATGATGATGATGATTACTATGCAATCGCTATTAGAGCTTTTGATTAGTCTTTTTGTTTATTACAATTCGTTGTTTATATAAATAGTTGATTTTTTTTTCTCTTCCTCATCATCATCATATGAGTATGACCCAGATAAATGTATCATGAAGATGATGAGAGAGAAAAAAAAAGAAAATGAAGAGAAAAAGTTTCTCTTCCATTCTATTTGTTGGCTTTAGACCAGATTAACCATTTAAACCTGTTGGTGATTATGAAGATTGTGGTGATTAGTATGAAGATTATCAAGATGATGAAGGGATGATCCAGTGATGAGGATGATGATGATGAAAAGAGATTCAACTTCCTACTCTTTTTCTGAATAAAAAATTGTGAAGTAAAAAAAATAGACCAACAATCAGCACTTCCTTGAGTATATGTAATCATTTATGGTTAACCTTTAATTTAAATTATCATTACTGATTCAACAATTTATTGTTTATTGTTGATTCATTAATTGTGTATGTGTGGGTAATTTGAATTGATAGTTAATACAAGACGTTAATTAAACCGATTTTGTGATTAACTCTTGAATCCCTTTGAACACGTACATGTGACCAACGGATTCGGAGTTCGTGAGATACCATTGGGTCTTGTTTGGTACTCAGATCAAGGTCATTGAGGTCATTAAGGGTTGAATATCTCCCTTTTTTTTTGAGTAAAAAAAGAAATGACCTCTAGCATGACCTCTAATTGCTTACCCTTGATCCATTGATTACCTGATTCTTTTTTTATTACTGCTAATTGTATAAGAATTAGCAATTTATTAATAGTAAAGTGATTATGTTAATCAGATCACATTTGAGTTAATTTATTTTAACAAGTTTTAAATTACCAATTAAATTTTTACGTCTGATTGTTGATTGTTGGTTTTCTTGGTGTTTCCTTTAATTGTTGTGGGCTAATTTGATTCCTCAATTGTTGTTTGTTATTACTGTTGATTGTTGATGTTGATGTTGTTGTCATAATTATTATCATGCTGTTGATAATTGTGATATAACAATTAACGGTTTGTATTCAGAAAGGAGAATTCAAATTATTCAATCTAAATTAAGAGTAAACAATTAATGTTAATCATGTTAAGCAAATAAAAAGTGAAACTTTAAATGAATCAACAATCATGAGCTTCAAATTGATTAGTAATTAAGATAATCATTAACATGATAATTATGATTAACAATTATCAGGTAGACTGACAAAGGTTCATTGACAGTAATTATTACGTTTAACTAATCAGTTTCACTTTCCACTAATTAGTTAATTGTAAACAATTTATATATAATCCATTGATTATCAAGGTTGATTACGATTCGATTAAAATATAAATTGGTAATTTACTTTTTCTTTCATCTTCTAATTGTTTTATTGTTTGCATTTTAGAACAATTAAACAATGAATCAATTAATTATCTTTTTGATCATGATTGTATTGTAAAATTAAACGAAAACAATTAAAGAGGAGAAAAAAACTAAAATCAAATTCTAATTATAATGAATTAAAAACGATAAGTTTCTCATTCGTAATTAATAGTTAACTTGAATATGATTCTTTCTAATTAAAATCTAACAGGTAGTTTGTTAATTTCTTTGTAATTTATCCTGAAAATTAAGTCTATTGTTAAACTTTTAACTATCAATTGAAACTATTGTTTATTATTTGTTTTTTTTACCAACAACAATCAACTAATCATGTAAATTGCTGGTCAGTTTGTTTAGGATTGAACTAGAGAGAGTTAATTGTGATATTTAATTTCCCTGATTCTTTCTGGTAATGAATAACTAGAAAGAAATTGTTAGTTGATTGTTAATTGTTTCGTAAAGGATTTCGAAATGTTTACCTTGATTTGTTTTCTTCCTTTTCGTTGATGTTTAATTACTTCAATTAACCACCTGATGATTGATCAACTGGTTAATTGTATCGTTTTTTTAGTTAAATCCTTTTAATTGTAATCGTAAATGATTCAGGCCTGACTGAGAACTGTAACTTTCTAAAAAGTGTTTCCCTCTTTCCATTTTACAGGGTTGGTGCTTATATGAGATGATGGAAACAATTAACTGATTGTCTTGAATGGGGAGTTTTCACCTTTAACAGTTGACCTTTTTCCATCCTTTCAGTTTAAATTGTGAAACGTAATATTGGACCTTTTGTAGTAAACGGTATTTACTTGTTTAGATAGTTTTACCTTTGTTCTCTCTCACATGAAAACAATTAAAGGCAATTTACTTTCAATCTTTCATCAAATTGTAGCTTTGATAGTCAATTGTTACCATGATTGACTCTCTTTAATTGACCCAAATTGATTGTTGATTAAGCTGTTGAATGATATGTAGCGTTTAAGTAAACTTGAGGCAATCAAAGGAGAAGATGATATTCATTTACAGTTGAATGTGCTCCATGTTTTGGTTTTCCTTTGGTTGATGATCGTTTTTAGGTTAAAATTTGGGTCTAAGGTCAAAGAGAGAGAGAGAGAGAGAGAGAGAGAGAGAGGAAAACATTGACCTTCTCCATTTTCTCATCCTCCTCCATCCTCGGCTGTTGCTGGGTCATCATAGAGAAGAGAGAGAATCTTGGTCTTACTTTTCTTCTTCATCGTCTTAATTTTTCACCGTTTTTCTTGAAAGGGAGACACACCACACATTCTGAGAGCTCTAAAGATGATGGAAGAAAAACTCAAAACCTGAAATAAGAAAGAAAAAGAGAAAGAGAAAGAGATAACTTGAAAGGAGAGAATGTTTTTTTTCTCTTCTCCTTCACAGTACCAGAAGAAGAGAGATGCTGAATAGATCAAATTGAAGTTTTCCAGCTCTTTTGTTTATGTAAACTCTTTTTCTCTCTCAAAATCATCATCATCAAAAAAAAAGAGAGAGAAAAAAAAACACAAACATAGATAATTATTTTTTCGCAACTAATTATTTTTCTTATTAACTAATCACAACAACGTAAAAGAGAATTTTTTTGTTCTCTTTCAACAGCCAATGGGAAACGAGAAAAGTGTAAACATTTAACTTCAAATCTTTTCCAACGGTCAACCAAAACTCTCTCATTCTCTGCAACTATTTTTGGCTGAATGATCAATGTTTCTCTTTTGGTGAATTTTCTTCCATTTCTTTTTTTTTGTGTCACTCGTACCTTCTCAGGTAATTAACAGGTGTCTCTCCGATTGTGTCCATTGGATCTCAACCACTGTTCCACCCATGGATTATTGTGAACATCAGAATTGATCGATATTCTTTACAGTTTAACTGAGTCTTCTCCAAACTCTCTCTCTCTCTGTTTTGCTTCGCCATTTTTGACTCAATTTCTGCTTCTACTATTTTCCACCTCGATCAATATGATATAAAGAATCATCATCATCATCATCATCCTGCTTCAAAGAAGAGAAAAAAGATAGAATCAACAAAAAAAAGGACTACAGTTTATTGTGTATCAACACAATAACAGAAAGAGAAAAAAGTTGAGCGTCAACTGAGTGTGCACAGTATTATTATTTGCAATTAAACCATGCAAAGTGGAATAAGCCGACGAACCACTACCGTCTCATCCACTCCATCATCGTCATCATCATCAACCACTACATCCTCAACGATTCTTGGTAACAATGTTTACCGATCTCGGCCCTCAACCCTGATTCCTCCACCAAACAAGGTTAGTATTACTATTTATTTTTTATTCGGGGTAAATACTTGATGAAAGAGGGATTAAGATGATGGCAAGAAGATAAAATTAAAACTAATTTGCTTTCTCTCTCTCTCTCTCTCCCATTTTCCAATTCTTATTCAATCACCTTGAATTTCAAGTTTATTTTCTGATTAAATTAATTGCTGGACCCTCTTTTCTTTTTTTTTTTTTATTTTACCCACTTTCCTTTCAATTGAATGAATAGTTTACCTTGAGGACTATAACTGCTCCTGATGATAAAAAAATGATCGGAACTTCAAACAAGCCATCAACCATTCGTCGTCCATCATCCCGTGAGACTATTACTCTAAATAACAGTCGACTCACCAATGGAACCACCAATGGATTATCTCGTCCAACTATAATTAAAGAGACAACAACAAACCGTTTGGGTAAAATTGATTCAACGCCAGCACCAACATCAAGAACCACAACCACCTGTAAACCTTCAAGTCAAATGCATTATGCTTCATCAACACAATCAAGTCGCCGATTAGCCAATGGAACCACAATCAACAACAACAACAACAACAAGGATTCTCAAAATGTTCCCAAAACCGAATCAAAGTTAACTGCTAAACGAAATGAGATTAATTCAACATCAGTTCGTAAAAATGTTGCCCCACCGTCAACCCTTAACAACACAACTACAAACACCATTAATAATACCACAACTAATGGAAATAGTTCTGTGCTTGTTACTGGAACAGCCAAAAAATCGGGCACAGCAACTGCCCGAGCAGCTACAACCCTAATTTCATTACAAAAAGAGTGTGACAAGTATAAAAGACTGGCCGATCTTTATAAACGTCAATTAGAGACCTCCAAAGGTGATGTATCTAAATCGGTGATGGTTGTTGATGGATTATCTGTTGTTGTTAAATATCTTACCGAGCATTTAAATGCATTTTCAACACCATCACTTAAGGCAACAATTGAACGGCAATCAACAAATTATGAAAAATTGAAAGGTGATTATTCAAAATTGGAAAGCCTATTGGAACAAATGAGACAAGAGAATACGAGGAAAGAAGATGATCTAAGAGATGAGATTGTTCGTATGAGCTTGGAAATGGTTAATGAAAAGAAACGTCATGATAATGAGAAGAATCGATTATTTGATATGTTTGAAGATCAAATGGAAGCTCAGAAAAAATCTTTCAAAAGGGAGATGGAGAAAATTGATGAAGAAAAGGTTAACCTGGAAAAGGTTATTGACTCACTTAAAGATGAGATTACGGATAAGATGAATCAGATAGAAGGTTTAACCAATCGCGTTAGTGAATTGGAATCATCGTTATCCATGGAAAAAGATCGTCGCTGTCGAATGTTACAAGAGAAGGTTAAATTCATGTCAAGTGAAATTCAATCATTGAAAGATGTTCTCGATTTGAAAGACGGTGAACTTAGAACCCTGAAAACGTCGATTGCCAACGAGGAATTGCTCCGTCAGGATTTGGCCACCGCTCAACAGAGTATAACAAATCTAACCCAACGATTGGAACAATTGGAGATTTCAGCTAATCAGAAAAATACCATGATCAATATGCTTAAAGAGGAGAATGAATCACTTCGAGAAAGATATAACCGTGAACAGCGGGAAAGACGCAGAATTTCAATGAAAAATGAGGAACTTGAATATACACTTTCAGAATTTACTACACCCAGTAAGGGTAATTCTAGTTCAGAGGATATCTTTTTAACACCGATGCAACCACCGCCTAGAACACGATTAACTTTGGCCAGTGTTCCACCTTGTCGTCCACAGCCAACTGATTCCACCCGCAAGGGAAGGCAAAGTTACAGTGTCTCAAGACCGAGCCATCATCATACTAAATGTTTCCAACCCTCATTATCATCAACAAATATTTTGCCATCATCATCATCATCACCATCATCATCTACTGAAACAACAACTTCTACAACATTACCATGTTCATCATCTTCATCAACCCGCCATCATCATCGTCGCTCATCTGCTTCCACTAAACTTACATTCCAAGATGCCAATGATTCCGAAGAAAGTTACAATCAACAAACTAATAATAGAAACATGGACAATCATAATACTCATGTTGATGGTGTTTTTAACCTTCCGGATTCAGATGATGAAGGAGATAATGATTCTGTAACCACACCCAATTTTGAAGAGTCCAATGTTTACTCACCATCATCAGCAAGTAAAATGATTGTTGAAACAATTGTTGATGATGAAGATGTTGATGTTGATGTTGAGCTTTGGCGTAGGAATAGACGACGAGCAAGGGGAAGGAGGGAAAGCGAACAAAATGAAAACCAAAACGGAAGTGATGATCAGTTTGGTGCTTCGTTTAGTGCCAACAATCGAAATAGTTCTAAGAACAATCTTGTTTACCATAATGTTTCCTCCAGTGATGATTCAAGTCATGGTCTTAATACAACTTTAGTTGGATGTTCACAATCATCATCTTCATCTCCAATCAGCACAACCAGTAATCATAAAAGTAGCAACAATAAAACTAATCAACGTCTAGTTGATCAACAAGTCAGCAGTAGTAGTGCCAGTAGTAGTACCAATGGTGAAGGCACCAGTGGAATCGGAAGTAGCCTCAACAGTATAAGTGTTAACTCTGGTGTTACCTTCCGATCGGAAAGGTGGGAAGATGATTCGGAATCGGAATCAGCGGCACCCAAATCTTTGCCATCTATTTTACCCCAGTCCATTTTGGACTCTGGTTTCGAGGATATCGAAGGTCTCATCGCTTTTAGATAAACATCTTTAACATTTTTTTCGAAGACAAAATTTTACTTCCACTCTTATTCTCTCTCTCTCTCTAAAATCTTCAACTAATCTTCCTCTTCCCACTAATTATTCATCATTCACAATCTCTGAATTTTAGATGAAAATTTAATTGTTCTGTAATTTTTTCTCTCTTTCCCTCTAGTCCCTATGTGATTTTAACCCATTTTTGATTCACTCACAGTTAATTTACTTCTCATGAAATTACAACAATCAACAAATTCATACACAATCCTTTTAATCATAATAACAATTATGTTGATTTATCATTAATAATAAATGCAACACTTTTTTTTCCTGCACTTAACAGAAACTCTGGATTATCACTCAACTTATCATGTCTTGATTTCGTGTAAAATTAACATCTTAATGGTGAGATTAAGTTGGGATAATAAGAAAATCAATTTTATTCAAATTTAAATAGAGATTTAAACACCAACTCTTCCTTTCATAATGTTTTTCTAATCTAAATATTTATAATTGTTACATAATAAGTATGAATACCACTTGAAACCCCGCAAACATTTCATGTTTGCCACTTTAATTGTGTTAACCAGTCACAATTTAAGATAGTTGATTGAACAATTGTCATGAATCTTTTATGGTTTCCCATTGTGGTTGAACTTTGAGAATTAAGAAAACACCAAATCTGCTTTTCCAATTAAATGCAATTGATAGTTGATATCCTCTAATTGTTTCCCTGTTTTGTGACTTTGATTTCCAGTGTTGTTGTTTTGTTTTTCTCTTGGTAATTGTTTGGTGATTTGTAAATTGATACCCGATGACATTGGAAGGGAGAAAACAATTGTATTACCAGGATAGAAAATTTGAGAGATGATTAACAGAAAGAGGAAAAGAAAAGATGACAATTTGGACAAACAATTAGTTGGATTTTTTTGATGATGATGATTTTGACAGGGTCTTGTTTCTCTGAGCAACCATGTAGAAATAAAGTTTAGGGAAAACTGTAAAGAAGGAAAAAGAGACACAATTTATATTGGCGATTAATTTTTTGGTGGAAAAGTTGATTTTCAAGTTGAAGTTTCAAGTTTTCTCATTAGAGTTTAACTTACATGGAATGTAAGAAGCCATGAAAGCCATGACAGCGTAATCAGAATAAAATGAGATGTTCAATGGATTGGGCAGTTTGTAGAAGAGTAATTCTTGTTTCTTGATGTATGGAAGAGCAGCATACATGAGTAAAAGTTCACCAGAAACGCCGGTGGGATAGAGAACAAGGAAAAATGAGTATCGACACCAGGTAAGAATACCTGGAACCAAGGAGATTATGTTAAGAGCATAATAGAGATACCTTGTTGTCTCAGCGAGACCCCAAGCACCAAGGATAAGTTTCAAACCGATACTTGATCGAGTTTGAGGAATTGGTTCAACAATACACCAACAGACAACAATCCTTGAGATAATTTGAAGAAAAGTAGTAACCGGTGATGATGGTACCAATTTAATTGCCGCGTGAATAACTTCAATCAATTGTAAAGTTTGGAAAAAAAGTAAGGGTAATCTTACTTCCTGATACAATTTCTTATTTGATGATCCATTGGTAACACCATTGACTAAACCATATAGAACCATACCCCATCTAAAAATGGAGAACAAAACATAAAAATAGCCCAAACAATTAATTAGCACAAAAATATTCAATTAAGAAACAATTAAAAAGCTAAAAGAAAATGAAGAAAAAAATCACAAAAAAAAAGATCAATTTTACTTACCCAATAAATTGAGCTACATTATATAAAATGAGATATAATTTGACAATTTTATAAGAAGCTAATCCTCCTCTTTTGGTGGACATGTTGAATCAACAGTTGCAAACAATTAAGATAAACAAAAATTGATAAAAGAGAAACAATTAAATCGCCAACTATTAATTGTTAATGAAAAATTTTTCTAATTGAAGAATCAAAATCTTTTGATGTGGATTCGATATTCTAATCGATACTATCGATGTGAACCGATAATTCGACCGCCAGGTTTGAATTGAATTCTCTCTTTCGGAGAAAAGCAAAGTGAAGAAGAAAACAAAAACCACTTGCCAACAATTAGGATTTAAAATGAGTTGATTATTAATTGTTCTTTATTTTTTTTGTTAAATTGTGATGGTGACTTTTCAATTAACTAATTGTGTCTCCATTTTGAGGTGAAAAAAAGCAATACAATTAGTGTAATAATAACATGAGACCAGGAATAAACTAAACCCATGTAAACCTGTTGATCTGTGATTGATTGTCCATAAATCATTGATTTAACCGCTGAATCTCCTGATTGTGTGTATGGAAAAAAATAATTTAATGGTTTAATGAAATAGGGTAATGATTGGTAAGGCCACAAAACGGCTCCACAAAATAATCCAGTGAATCCATAGGAACATTGAAGGAAAACCGCATTAACAGGTGACCTGGTTAACGATCCAATGAAAAGGCCTTTGATTATCCCGGAGATAATCAATGCAAGGGTTAATCCGAATATGAAGATGATTCCACCTTTAACTGGAATATCAATGGTTAACCAGATAAAAGTAAAAGCAATCAAATAGGTTGGTAAAAGTAATCCGGTTGACAGAATGACCATGGAAACAATTAATTCCCACCTTTGTAAACCACCGGCGGATAAACGTTCATTAACCAGATAACCATGTTCATAGACCTCGATCAGCATAACCAAAGTCATTGAGAATGATTCAATTATATGGAACAAAAATTTGACTAGAACAATTTTTGTCGGTGCAAGAAATTTAAGATCATCCGTTGTAGGCCATCGGTAAATTGGTTCAATGGAAAGTAAGCCGTCAATTGAGTGGGAATTTTCAATCCTTTGAGATGGAGATGAAGTTAAATTGATTAAAGATCGAGTGGTAACTATTTCAATTGAATCCGAGATAAACCTATTGGAATAGTCTAATGTAAGGACAATTGTTCCAGATCGAGGAGATTGATTAACCAAATTTGAATCAATTCCATCCAAATAGCCAAGATGAGTAAATGATTGACTAAATTTTTCACCAATAACAAGATAACCTGATAACCTGTTGGATTCAAGATGATTACGAGCATCACTCTCATAGAGATAGGAAACAATTAGCCAATCATTTGAGTGGGAAATTAAGGATTCAATGTATCTATTAGTTAGAGAACCATTAACATCATGATTAACCACTCCGATTCTTAATCCTTTTGGAAAATGTCCAAATAAAAGTCCCATGGTGAATAAGACACAGATTAAAAGTCCACCCAGACCCAAGAATTGATATAAAGTGAACGCTTTCCACCGAGACCAATATCGCCAAGTTAACAGTTTAAAAGCTTCCAAATGATTCAATCTTTTCCTTGTTAATGGAGATGATGATGATGGTGATGATTGTCTATATTTAATTTTGTTATTATTTGTAAATTTGGTTGGTCAGTAAATTTTTTGGACATGTAGTAAAAGAGGATAGCTGATTCCAGGGAATTTGAATTTTGTTTGGCTTTAAATTGTTCGGGAATATCTTCAATTATCACTTTTCCTTGGCTCATAAAAGCAAAATAATCTGCTTTGTTTACCTCTTCTAGATAATGTGTGGTCAGTACAATGGTCATCTTGTTGTTGGTTCGAAGGTGCAATAAATGTTTCCATATTTTGTCCACTGCAATTGGATCTGAACCAACTGTTGGTTCATCGAGAAGTAACAATTCTGGTGAATGAAGAAGAGCACAAACCAAGGAAACACGTCGACGAGTCCCAAGGCTTAAACGGTCAATCTTTTGTCTTCGAAGGTCTAATGAAATATCCAATCGTTGTGATAAATTTTCAAGTTGATTATTAATCTCTTCTAATGTCAATCCATACAAACGACCAAAAAAAGTCACCATTTCATCAATGGTCAATTCAATATCAAGAGCAATATCTTGAGGCATGTAGCCAAACATTGGACCAAGTTTTAGCTTAGTTGAAACTGTTACTTTTGACCAGCAGAATCTTCTCCAAACTGACCACTTGTTACACCAAGATAATGACCCATCACTGAGATTAAACCTGAACTAATACAATGTTGGCCCAATAAACATCGTTGAAATGTTGTCTTGCCGCATCCCGAAGGACCAATAAGGCCATAAACACACCCTTTGGGCACAGTTAACGACAAACCATTTAGAATGGTCAATTGTTGCCATGATTGTTTCACTGTGACGAAAACATTGTCCGCTTGAATAGCTAATTGTGAACTATTTGACCAATGTCCAGAATCCATTGTAGAATCAAATTAGACAATCACAAGAATAAAAATCAGAAGATGATTTAAAAACTCAAGGATAAAAAACTATCATTAGTTTGAGTCTGCTGAGTGAATCTTTTGAGTTCTAACAATTAACTGTTAATGATTAACATAAATTATTGTAATGCTGATCGTAAACAATTAGCTGATTGCTTTTTAAGACATAATCATAAACTTTTTGTTCAATTGATCATCGATCAATAGTTAATTGGTGGCTTAAAAAAACTCGAGGACACAAACAATTAATTGTTGGATATTCAAATTTCATGTTCATTAACTAAATTGTTAACCCTCTTTAAGAGCACTTGAGCAATTAAGAGCTTAATATAATCAATGATTAACTTGGAGAAAAGTTTATTCTTACAAAATTTCAATTGTTTCATCAACAATTAACTTTTTTTTTACAATATAAAATTAGCTAATCAATTGAGTTTCTTTTTGTTGTTGAATTTATTGTAATATTTACCAATGTTATCAATCAACTTGATTGGAACCAATTGATTAACCCTAGTAACAATTAACTCTTATGAAGGCTTAATCATTACAATACAACGGTTATTAAACTGTAGCCTCGTGTTAACCAACCACGTGTTGGAAACTTACAACAATTAAGTTAATCATTACATCTATTGATTACAATTAAGAATCTAATGATTGGTTAACGGTTGTTGATTTGATTAACTGTTAACAGACGTTGTGATCATTAATCAATATAATTCAATTGAATGGAACAATTTAAATTTCTAATACAAATCTTATATTTACTTAGTAACAATTAACTGTATTTTCATTCAATAATCAATAAAATAGATTCAGCTGATATTTATTATCAATTGATATTCAAATTTTATTTTAACTTTAAGCAACAGTTAATTGTTTACCCTCTTTAATTGTAATTGAAAATTAACTGAAAATTTTGTCTAATTGTTTCAATTGAAGGTTAACAATTTAATGTTTACCTTTGAATTAGTGTTTTTTTTAAATCATTGACAAAATTAAACTTGATTGTAATTGAAATATGATAAGTAAACAATTGAAATAGTCTGTTGATTATTATTCAACCACAGAAGATGCTAATATACAATTAAACTTAATTCCAATGGGATTTACCTTTAATTGTTAACAATTAAGAGAGAGAGAGAGAGAGAAATCCAAATGATTTATCCCTTTAAACTAATATTTAGTTTTAATTTGATTACGATGATTATATTACAAGGGTTTTGGACTATAAGATGAAAATTATGGTTGATTGTTGACAATTTATTATTACTTTGTGTTGATAATTATGAGAGATAATTGTTGTTATTGATATTATATTATCAACAATTAAGCTTCTAACTTATATATTATATTAACTGATTGTGTTGATTTAAGCTGAAAAAACAACAATCAAATAAGTTAAACACTTTTTTTTTGTTGTGGTAAAAGGATTGACCATATTAAATTATCATTATGATGATTAAGTTATAATAATAACATTTAATTTGATTATAATTATCAATAGGATCTAACAATCAAACTGAACCATAGTTACCGTTACTTTGGGGATTTCCAGGTGATTACAATATCAATGGACTTTGTTGATTGTCCCAAACTAAAAGTAGTGAACATAAATAAACAATCAGCCAAATATCCATTGAAAATATCAAAGTGATAGAGAGTGAATGAGAGAGTGAGAGAGGGAGAGATGAGGGTGATTGAGGTGGAGGAGGGTATTCATTGTGAATACTTTAGATTGCCTTTTTTTAGTTTACTATTATTACGATTCAATTGATTATTATCGATATCACTCAACCATAGATAAGTTAAAATCTAAATAATAGAAAAAAATTTTATTCTCTTTTCAATCTTGAGGGAGTGAGTGAGAGAGAGAGAGAGTAAAGGTTGTGTTGATTGTCTATTCGGAGGTTGAGATGATGATTGTATTTGAATTATCAAGTGATGAGGATGAAGATTTGGAAATCTATATATCTTTAATTGTTGGTGTTGTTGTTTTTGGATTGATGATGATAAAGATAAAAATAAAGATGAAGATGGAGATGATGAGGACGAGGATGAAGATGAGGATTAGTATTGATTGGTGATTGTTAGGGTGAGGATAAGGATGAAGATGACATGTTATCATCTCTAACTGGAAAAGTATTTATCTTTGTTATTTTTGCTTTTTTCACTTTTCTATCGGATTAACTGTTAAGTGTAATTTAAATACAATCCATAAACTATTATACATCTTAATCCCCTAAGTATTATTATCATTTTGCAATTTCAATTATCTTTAACAAACTAAATCTTTTACCTTTACTTTTATAATCCAAAATGTTTTTATATCAATTTAATCACCAAGATGATGATTAACTTAATCTGTGATTAATACTTGAAATTGGAAACCATTAACAGACTGGACACAATCAACATCATCGGATTGATTATCATCTGAATCGTAATGATAAAATTTACATATTAATTAAAAGTTGACTTGATTTTGTTATCGAATTGATTTTGATTTAATTGTAAACTATTTTGAACTTGTGAAAAATGAGAAATTAAATTGAAATTACCGTTACAATCACGATTAAAACAACAACCACCTTGATCTTTAGTTATCCGGAAGTGGTTGAGGATAACATGTAACGCGTGTTTCCGGGCACGTGCTGAATGTAAACCATTGAAAATGTTTACATTAATTGTTATTAATCAATATTATCACAATGTAACAATAAACAATTTCCAATGTTATTAATATCATGATGATGTAGACGATTAAGATAATAATAATAATAAATAATTATGTGAATGAATGACAAAGTGAAACAAAATGGCGATTGAAACATTTTGAATATTTATAAGGTGGATGAAAATTATTATCAAGATAAAATTAATAAATTATTATAATAATTTAATCGTCTAAATGTGAAAATGTATCTATTACAATGACAAGGAACATGAAGAAAAAAGGTAATTAAGAAACATGTAAATTAGATTTTGTATAGAGATGGAAATTGTTATTATGTTTTCATCATGTAACCATCATGTAAAAATGAATGATTATCATCATGAGAGTGGGTTTTTCATGGGGTGAAAATGGGAATGATAAACCTATATGATTTTGAGGTAAAAGTGGGTGGGAATGTCGAGCAAGATTTTTATTGGTTTAGAATCCAGAACTAAATCTAGTTGGTTAACAATGAGAAAACCACTTTCATCAATACTCAGTAAGGCGGAGACTCTAGATGATGATGAGGATGATGAAAAGAAAGACGAAGAGAGAGAGAGAGAGAGAGAGAGAGAGATTGAAGTGTTATGCTGTGAAGTGGCTATTAGGTACTCGAAAGGTTCAAAGTGATTTCGATTTGGTTCTCGATTAGACTGATCACTTTTTCTCGTATTACTTTTGCTTCCAAGTGAGATTAAGATATCCGCTTATTAGATTGAGATTTTTGATTGTGATTAGTTGATTTGATGATGAAAAAATGATCGAGATTTTAAGTTCTAATTATCCGCCATCATCATCATCGACAATTTTTTCTTCTTCAACTGAACTGAATTGTTTCAATTCTAATCAAGTTAATTATTCGTCTCTTCATCATCCCAATCATTTGATTGCTTCAAGTGAGTTAATTGTTTCAACTGAAAGTTTATCTCAACAATCATCTGGTAATTTATCAACATATATTGAAATTGGAAATCGCTTACAATCAACATCATCATCAACAGTTTCAAGTTGCCCAACAATTGACTCTGGTTATCAACAATCAGTTAATTGTCTTCCTGATTCAACTTGCTCGGAATATTCAACTTCATTACAATCATCAGTTGATTACAATAATCACAATGATTCCACATTATCATCATCATCTTCTTGTGCCTCCTTAATTGAATCACCATTAGATCAAAGTGACGATTCTAATCAAAGCTCAATCAATTATGAACCATCAATTAAACAATTTAAATCGTCAGCTAATCATCATCATCGACGATTTCGTAAAAAACACCGAGGTGCTCATCATCAAATTCACCAACGACAAGCGGCTAATTTAAGGGAAAGAAGGAGAATGCAATCAATTAACGATGCGTTCGAGGTAATTAGCAAATTTAATTAACTTAATCAACAAGTTTAACTGTTTAATTGGTCAGTGGTTTTCATTGATTATCTAAATCACGATCCAAGGCACGCGCTCAATACACTTAAACTCGTGTCATTGCCACGTGTGACCCTTTATCTTGAATGACCTGACACACTTACAAGGTCATTACAAAGGTTATATGTCAACACAATTAATTTACTAACCACAACAATTTAAACTAAATCATTTAAATAAGATTAGTTTTGTTTTCATTTGCATTCATTTTAAATGTAACATTTTCTGTGTTAATTGTTAATATTTCTTTGTGTCTTATTGATTTTCAATTAACTTATCACAGCAATTTAAATTTTCACTGATTAAACTGATTAATTGTGATTAACTGTTTCTCTTGTTAATCCTTTCCATTAATAATTAACTTGATTTGTACATTTGTTAGCCACTGGATTAACTTCAACTTGAAATTGAATTCACTTTTTTGTGATTTCATAAAATTAAATCAATCAAATTGTTTGTAATTAGTTAAATTTGTTGATCATGATTGATTTAGATTAATGAAAACTAAAATAGTCATAAAATAATCAATACAAATGAATATTAATCAGATTTAGCTAATCAATCATAGTCATAAATTGATATGATTTCATAACATATTGATTAGGATGTTACCGAGTGTTAATTGTGACAATTTAATTGTTGATTGTTACTCATTATAATTACAGAGTCTTCGAGCTCATATACCAACATTACCATATGAAAAGCGTTTATCCAAAGTGGACACACTTAAATTGGCCATTGGTTACATTGATTTTCTAAGTGAACTAATATCGACCGGACGTAACCCCAATGACCCCTTACAATCAACATATCAACCAGCACAAGTTAAGAAAATAATTATTCATTGTCAGAAAGGTAGTTAACAACAATTAACGAATTTAATAGTAAACAATTTAGTTTGATTCACAATTTTCTCTTTTCAATTTTGTTCATTCATAGTTCCTTATGGTTTACAATTAGCTGGACATTCACTATCATGGACTTACGAGAAAGGGTCACCAAGGGTCAACGGAAGTGTCATGATCGCCAAAATATGGAGACCGGAAGATCCGAGAGGTTTTGGGGAATCAACAATTAAGGAGATTGATGATGAACATGATCAACAACAATCAACGATAATTAATGATAATAATATTGAAAATTGTCTAACAAATTGTTACCCTTGTAGTAACAATAATCACCAATCAAAGTGACCACAATTAATCAATCTAATTGTACAGTTAAGAAAAATTTTCCTTCGCAAAAAGTCAATCCAATTGATTTACTTTTAATCGTAACAATTAAATTGTATCTTTTTTAATAACATTATTATTACATAAATGATATATAATTTGTAGATTCTTCATTTACAGCATCCTCATCATTTCCTTATCCGGTTTATAATCAACACTATAATTGTGATACAATTGGCTAACCATTTTCTCTGACTATTTAGTTAATTGTAACTCATTTGATTTGTTAATGTTAATCAACCGTTATCTGAGTGGTCTTTGATTAACATCACTGGATTTACTTGATTAACGGTTATTCATTTTTGCTTTATTATATTCCCATCATCTTGATCATGATTTACTTGATTGTTGATATCAGCTCTTTATAATTAACACAGTCAATCAGTTCCAGTTGATTGTAAAAACATTTGATATTTAATCAATGGTTCATTGATTATGTTTATTTGTTGATTGTTTATCATTGGAAAAATTTTAATTCTCAAGCAATTTGATTTCCCAGTGAAAATAAATTAACTATTAGAGGGTGAAAACAATGATTGTAATCAAGAGTTAATTATAATCATTAGCAGTTGATTTTTGCGTAATGAGAAATGAGAAAAATAATCAGTAAATTGTTGATTAAAAAGAAATCAATGGATCAATTGTATTAGCCTTAAGGTTCTAACAATCAAAAGGATCTCCGTCAATTGTTATCAATACATTGACCTAATTTTACGCTACAATTTAATCAACAATCAACACTCGAGGGCTACTATTTATTGCGTGTCTACAACTCGAAGATAACAAAAGGTTCCAATTTGGTTCGAACTTTTTTTTGCTCTTTTCTATTCTCTCTCTCTCTCTCTCTCTCTACAATCAATCCTCCTTTTCGAACGGGATTGATGGTTATTAACATAATACCAATTTATGGTTCAATGGATTCGACCATAATTAAGGTAATAAGTTTTTCTAAAGGTGGTTAATTATTAGATCCACGGAAAGGTAACTATCGGAAGTTGTTGATTGTTGTGTTTGTTTCGAGACCTATGAGGTGGGTGGTGGGTGGAGAATCTGATGTAGAATTGAAGAGAGAGAGAGAGAGAGAGAGAGAGAGAGTTGAAAGTGAATAATGATGATGAAGAGAAAGAGAAAGAGAAGATAACTCCAAATTCTGAGGTTTGGTATACTCTTTTGCTATGGAATCGATTTTATCGTTTTCATGGGAACCTGAGCATCTGTTCAGTTTCACAATTTTCTCTTCTATTTTCTCTTTTTCGAATATTTTTCTTCCCTTTTTTTCGGTTTATCATCATCTCTATCGTTTTACTTTTCCCATCATCATCATGAAGATGTAGAAAAAAAAATCATTCATGTTAATCCGCATCATCTCTTGTTCATCCTCCATCTTTTACCTTTGTCTCTAATTTTTTCTCTCCTCTTCTTCGTGATACTTAATTGTTAGCAAGTGGGAACAGTTTAATTTACCCACTTGGTGGGTTTTTGTCATTTCTCCTCCTTGATTGTTTGATACTTTGTCATCATCATTGAATAGTAAATATCATTAGATGATCACAACAATCCTTTAGACAAATAAATAAATTTCATCAGAATCATTATCTTAATAATTTGAGTTAATTAACAAATCCAGCCAATTAGCTCAACCACTTTTTAACTAAATTATGTATCTCCCTTGCTAATTGTTGTAACAATCAAATACAGAAACAACTCTTACCATCAAAAGAACGGTACACTAATCAATTAAGAAAATTAGAATTAAATCGTCGCCCGATTAATTGATTAATTTGAATAAAATGAAGATAATCAGTTGATTATTTCCTGGGAAAACCCCATGCCTGATGAATTAAATTATACATTTGATTCAAGGATTCGATCAACAAATAATTTAACCAATCGATTCAACAGTAACACAAATTTAAATCATTCCAACAATAACAATTTAAATGTCCATCCGAATCCACCACATTTATTACCTAAATTGCACACAATTGGAAGTGGACAATTTATGAACAGCGGACATTCAACTCGTCCAACGCCAATTTTCAACTACAATCAACACCATCGACAAATATTGCCCACCTTGCAGCCGACAACAAACAATGGTACAAATGCTGCGGCGGCTTTCCCCGCTTATCCATCCTATCAACGTCCGATTGCAATTCAGTTCAATCAATACTCATAAAGTTTCGTAAGTTTCATCATTAGCTGTTAATCATCATGGTAAATTGTATTAATTGTTGATTCAATGATCACTTTTTATTATTAGCATAACAATCATGATAATTATCATGGTGCTACTTTGGTGTTTACATCATTACGGTTTCAGTTACCGTTAGGAATGAAAAAAAGGAAAATAGAAAAGATAACGATCAGAGTAAACATTTAAATTGTTAACAATCAATTGAAATAATCAGACAAAGATTTTCGGTTAATTTTCAATTACAGTAATGCCTTTCAAAATGTCCCATCATGGTGACACCGATTTTATTCCTAAAATTTAGAGTTAGAAAAAAACTCGGTCAAGTTATTTTATGTAAAATTAGTCAACTTATCAGATTTAAATATTTTCGACCAAAAATTTTTATTTCTCCTGCGATTATCATTCACTTGCATTGAAATATCTTTCGTTTGAATTGACATGTAATTAGATTTATTCTAAGACGAGCGACTGTATCAAAGTAATAGATCAGTTTTAGATCTTGTCAAATTACTTCTCATGAGTAAGATCTGGTAAGTTCCATAAAGATTAGTCAATGTCCATTCATCCTCTTCAGGTTCTTTTCTATGTTTATCACATCGAGAAAAACTTTGGTGAATCTTGTGAACTATAATTTAAATACTTGTACCTACTGTAAAAAAAAGTTACGAACTTTTAACAGAACCGCGCTGAGAAATTCGGAATTTCATTAACTCCTTTTCCGCTCGTTGATATTCATTCGTTGGATCAGCACCTATCATTTTTTTAAATTGACTCCCCATTATCAAGAATTCGTAAGTCGAATAAAGATTGTCGAACGACCACTCGAGCTCACCTGGATCTCTCTCTAGGTTAATATGTGCCAGAAATTTTTCTGGTGCATTTTTTTTGATGCTCGATTGAAAACGAGTACGAAATTGTTCGAGTTGACCATCATTTGGCTTTCGAATTTTTCCCTGAAATTTAAAGTAACAAAATTTTTGGTCAAGTTATATGAAGTCAATCAACTTGTCCTCAGATTATACGATTTTCAATCAATTTCTCACCTTAAATTATTATTCACTTACAGCGAGATATATTTCGTTTGGATTGACTTGCGATTGGACTTGTTCTAAGGCGAGTGATTTCAAAAAATTTAGTTTTTTGACATTTACTAGCTCACTTCCCATGATTAATATATGATAAGTTGCGTAAACATTAGTCATTGTCCAATTTTCCTCGCCCGGATTTACATTCAGGTTTATCACGTTGAGAAAAGTTTGTGGTTTACATCGTGATCTACTTTGGAAATGAGAATGATAACTGAGAAATTGTTCTTCATTTGGCTTTCGAATCATTTTCTACAATTGACGAAATCAAGAAAAATAAAATTAATTAGCTAATAGAATATAGAAACATTTCTGACAATAAAAAACACAGGAAATTGAACGAGCAACAATTTTAATAAGTAAAAATTGGGCAGAAATAAAGAGACTAAATTCAAAGTCAAGTTCAACTTCATATCTCACTCAATCTTTTTGATTTGGATGAAAAACAATTCATTAATATTTCTGATCTATTCTGATATTCACAATAATTTATGGGTGGAAACAGTGGTTGAGATCCAATGGACACAATCGGAGAGACACCTGTTAATTACCTGAGAAGGTACGAGTGACACAAAAAAAGAGATGGAAGAAAATTCACCAAAAGAGAAACATTGATCATTCAGCCAAAAATAGTTGCAGAGAATGAGAGAGTTTTGGTTGACCGTTGGAAAAGATTTGAAGTTAAATGTTTACACTTTTCTCGTTTCCCATTGGCTGTTGAAAGAGAACAAAAAAATTCTCTTTTACGTTGTTGTGATTAGTTAATAAGAAAAATAATTAGTTGCGAAAAAATAATTATCTATGTTTGTGTTTTTTTTTCTCTCTCTTTTTTTTGATGATGATGATTTTGAGAGAGAAAAAGAGTTTACATAAACAAAAGAGCTGGAAAACTTCAATTTGATCTATTCAGCATCTCTCTTCTTCTGGTACTGTGAAGGAGAAGAGAAAAAAACATTCTCCTTTCAAGTTATCTCTTTCTCTTTCTCTTTTTCTTTCTTATTTCAGGTTTTGAGTTTTTCTTCCATCATCTTTAGAGCTCTCTCTCTCTCTTTCCCATTTCTGTTACCCTTTATGAGTTTACCTTACAAAAAAATCTGTAGCGATTTGGTTAGTGTCACGATAGAAATTTTCAATTGTTGATTTTTTTGGTTGATATTAATAATAAGAAGAAAAGTTGTTGAAGATGCAAGATAAAAATGAAAGAATTAAAAAAACAATAAGAAGGGAATGAAAAGTTAAAGTTTAAAAGTTTATTTTTTGTTTGACGTATGAAAATACTTCGTACTAAAAAATAATCATTGATGATAGCGCTCAGTGTCCTGATAAAACTCGTTTGATTGTTCGGACGGAATATATGATATCTTGCAGTCCTTTCAAAACAGTCACTTCAAAATAAAATTTGAGAAGTTGTTTGATTTGCTTTTTCACATGAAGAACTTAAAATGACCTTTCAACGCGTCCTCCGAGAAATGACCCCAATGACCTTGAAAATCGTAAGTCGAGTACTTCAATTCTGTTCAGTCCTCTGGTCAAGTTTGACATTCATATGACTTTTAGTTCTTGTATTGAGACTGGTGTTGGACGGGACTAGTCGATTGGTTGAATTGAAAAGTCGACGAGCTAATGATAGAGAACTGATTATGGTTGGTAGTAGCAGGTGGATTGCGAATATCCATTGAATCCGAAAAACGCTTGGAAGAAAATGGAAAATTTGGACATATCAGATATATTCGAGGTGAATGGTAAAAAATATCTATTAAACTTACAGCAGTACCGCGATTAATCTGGAATTGATTTATCTCAATTGCCGCTTGTCTATATTCATTCGATGGATTGCCGTTTATCATTTTTCTAAATTTACTCCCCATAATCAATAACTCGTAAGTCGAATAAAGATTGTCGAACGACCACCCGGGCTCACCAGAATCTCTCTCTAGGTTAATATGTGCCAGAAATTTTTCTGGTGTATTTTTGGTGCTTTTCGATTTAAAATGAGTACGAAATTGTTCGAGTTGACCATCATTTGGCATTCGAATTTTTTCCTGAAATTTAAAGTAAAAAAATCTTGGTCAAGTTATATGAAATCAATCATCAAACTTATCATTCACTTACAGCGAGATATCTTTCGTGTGGATGGGAGTGAGGTGTTATTTGATATAAGGCGAATTGTTTCTGTCTAAAATATTTTCTGGTTTCGATTAGATCACTTCCGAGGACTAATAAATGGTAAGTCGCGAAAAGATTAGTCATTGTCCATTCATCATCTCCTCCTTTTTTTAAGTTTATCGAATTAAGCAAAAATGCTGGTGAATCGTATGAATCATTTTGGAAATGGAAATGAAGATGATTAAATTGGTCTTCATTTGGCTTTCGAATCATTTTCTACAATTGATAAAATCAAGAAAAATAAAATTAATTAGCTAATTAGAATAGAGAAACATTTCTGACAAAATTCTGACGAAATTCAAAGTCAAGTTCAACTTCATATCTCAGTGAGAGTTTATGTGTACGTAAATATGAGAAAATCTCGGTTAAATCACCCTGAGGTTGTGTCTCTCAAACATTAGAGTGTTCAAGTAAAGCCTGAAATAGATTCTATCACCTCAGAGAACTAATTTTTATTGGAAACGAATCTGCTCTCTTACGAAGGCAAAAAATGAAGTTTGAAGGAAAATTAATAAGTTAATCAATTTTCAGGCTAAAAACGTCGATTTTTACAATTTTCTCGATAAAAATCTGCAAGCGACTCAGAAAAGGCTGCACTCGTTAGTAATCGAACTTCGAGTAATGACCAAAAAACGAAAAAGCATTTTTTCTTCGAAATTTTAATTAGTAGAATCGAATGTGAACATTACGAAAATGATCATCTTAGCTCCCAGTTTTTCTGTTAGAAAAAGTTATACAGGGTCTAACAAGAGAATTGTTTGTTATAATTAGTTAAATTTGTTGATCATTATTGATTTAGATTAATGAAAACTAAAATAGTTTTAAAATAATCAATACAAATGAATAGTAATCAGATTTAGCTAATCAATCATAGTCATAAATTGATATGATTTCATAACATATTGATGAGGATGTTACCGAGTGTTAATTGTGACAATTTAATTGTTGATTGTTACTCATTATAATTACAGAGTCTTCGAGCTCATATACCAACATTACCATATGAAAAGCGTTTATCACAAAGTGGACACACTTAAATTGGCCATTGGTTATATTGATTTTCTAAGTTAACTAATAATGGTGATTAGTTGAATTGTTCAATGTTTTTTAGATGATTAAAGATTCATTTGAAATTGCTCATGGTCAATCAATTTTACTTTTTTCCCCTAAAAAAAATATTAGTGAAAAAAATAGTAAATCAATTCCCAATTGTGATCTGACCATATTGATTTCCCTTGTAACTAAATCAACAGAATTTGAAACTTTCCAATTCTTGAGGAAAGTTTTTTGTTTGTTCCACTTCATGATTCAAATGGCTGATAAATGATTTCGATTTTTGATAATGTCAAAGTTATCAATGTTTATTGAATAATATGATAACTTTACAAATGAAAAAAGGGTGAAAACCGATTGGTAATAAAGGTAAAAGGTCTCTTTCTTTTTCTCCCTCTTTTTTCTTTCTCAGATAAAGATGTTGTTGAAAAGAGGGGGAGAAGAAGATGAGAAAGAGAAAGATGCTTATGATGATTATGTTGACAATGAAATGGAGAAAGAGAGAAAGTAAGGAAAGGAAAGAGTAGAAAGTGAGAGTTAAATGGGAAGAAAATGTTACACTGAGATGGAATTGGGTGGTTGATGATGAGAGTAAACGAGAAAATGAAAGAGAAAGTGGAAGATAAGTGATAGAGAGAAGAGAGAGAGAGAGAGAGAGAGAGAGAGAGAGAGAGAGAGAGAGAGAGACAGTCTAAGTGTGGAAAAAATTTAAATAAATATTGAGCTCACCCAAAAATTGAAGAGTATTCAATCACAATAAACGGTTGTCCTTTTTTTGAAGCAGGATGATGATGATTCTTTATATCATATTGACCAAGGTGGAAAATAATAGAAGCCGAAATTGAGTCCAAAATGGCGAAGTCAAAAAAAAAGAGAGAAAGAGAGAGAGAGAGAGGATGGAAACAGTGGTTGAGATCCAATGGACACAATCGGAGAGACACCTGTTAAAGACCTGGGAAGGTACGAGTGACACAAAAAAAAAAGAAATGGAAGAAAATTCACCAAAAGAGAAACATTGATCATTCAGCCAAAAATAGTTGCAGAGAATGAGAGAGTTTTGGTTGACCGTAGGCAAAGATTTGATGATTTTGAGAGAAAAATAGTTTATTTAAACAAAAGAGCTGGAAAACTACAATTAGCTCAATTCACCTTCTCTCTTCTTCTTCTTCTTCTAGAACTACTAATGTGAACAAAGAGCAGTTCGAAAAGTGTTTCATACGATAGGCACGAGAGTCGCCACTTCTTCTACGAAATTCAAGAAGATTAAACATTTTCTTCCAACAATTAACTCTAAAAAATTAACAAATTCAACCAATAAGTCCAACTACCTGTTAACTAAATTACCCAAACTTATCTGTATCTTCATCGCTAATTAACAATAAAAAAACTGAATCTCACCATGAAAAGAACGAGGCACTAATCAAAGAAAAAAAAAAGAAATTTGATCCTAAACAATTAAGAAATTATAATTCAGAATTAAATTGTCAACCGATTAATCGATTAATTTGAATAAAATGATTACTCGATCATCAACACATTCCAATTGTTTCTCATTCATTTGGAAGTGGACAATTTATGAACAGCGGACATTCAACTCGTTCAACGCCAATTTTCAACTACAATCAACACCATCGACAAATATTGACCACATTGCAGCCGACAACAAACAATGGCACAAATGCTGCGGCGGCTTTCCCCGCTTATCCATCCTATCAACGTCCGATTGCAATTCAGTTCAATCAATACTCATAAAGTTTTGTAATCATCATTAGCTGTTAATCATCAAGGTAAATTGTATGTATTGTTGGTTCAATGATCACTTTTTATTATTAGCATAGCAATCATGATAATTATCATGGTGTTACTTTGGTGTTTACAGAGTAAATCAGAGTAAACATTAAATTGTTAACCCTCAATTGAAACAATCAGACAAAGATTTTCGGTTAATTTTCAATTCCATTAATGCCTTTCAAAATGACCTATCATGGTGAAAACGATTTGTAGAGCAAACCATTCGAAAGGGTTGCAATTAATCAATTATTTCGATTAAAAAAAATACTAAACATAAATAATTACGCATAATGATCCTCGAAACAATCTGATTATTACCAATTTCCTTTTTAGATGAGATTTAATCTTAATTAAAACTCAAACATGTTCCAAAGTTAATGTTGCCATAACGATGGGTCACGATGACCTGAACTCAGTTGAGAGATAAAATTTTCGTATCTCTTCTTCCGCTTTAACATATTCACGTGAAGGCTTAGCACTTGGTAGTTTTTTAAATCGACTCCCCATAATCAATAACTCGTAAGTTGAGAAAAGATTAACGAGCGACCATTCGGGCTCATTTGAATGCCTCGTTATGTTTATATGAGCAAGAAAATTTTGTGGTGTAGTCGAAGTTTTCGAATGAAAATGAAGATGAAATTGGTCTAACTGATCATCGTTTGGCATCCGGATTTTTTCCTGAAGTTTAAAGTTAAGAAAAAAAAACTCGGTCAAGTTATTTTATGTGAAATTAATTAACTTATCAGATTTAGCGATTGTCAATCAAAAATATTGATAATATTTTTCTCCCTCGATTATTATTCACTTACATTGAAATAACGTTCAACGTTTGAATTTCCATATAATCTGATTTGTTTTTTTGGATCAATTTTAGTCTTTAGCAAATCTCTTCCCATGAGTAAGATCTGATAAGTAGCGTAAAAATTAGTCAATGTCCATTCATCCTCTTGAAGTTCTCGTCTCATGTTTATCTCACTGAGCGCAAGTTGGGGTGAGCCTTGTGGTTTACTATGGAAATAGTAGTGATAAGTAATAAATTGTGCTTCATTTGGCTTTCGAATCAGTTTCTACAATGTAAGAAGTTATGAAAAAGAAAATTAATCAGCTATTAAATAATTCTGACAATAAAAACATAGGAAATCGAATGATAAACAATTTAGATGAGTATAAATTTGGCAGAAATAAAAAGACGGAATTATTATATTAGAATGTTCAAGTAAGGCCTGAAATATATTGTATCACCATCATCATCTATCACAATAGATTGTATGATATTTAGGCAATTTCATCTTCTTCTCATTTAGATGAGAAATCGAAATCGGAAATTCTTTCTGGCCTTATTGATGTTTCAAGTGAAAAACGTAAACGATCATCGACGATCGATCAATCGCAACAACAAATCGAGAACCAATTAAACGGGAAATGCGTCCAAAAATTTTCGACATTGAACAATTTGAATCAAGGAGAAATTGAAAGTAATGGTCTCCATTGTATCCATTTACGATCTAGTCAAGTTGGACGTTTACGAAGCTCATTAATTGAGTTCGATAAAAAATTTGCTAACCTTTTATCAAATAAAATCGATATTGATCCTTTCTCGTATCGATGCAAACTCACAGAGACAAGTGAAGACTCAAAGGAAAATAAAAATGGCCATTACTCAGTCCAATACATGTAAATGTATGCATACTTTTCAAGGATAATCTATTCGATTAGATCACCTGTTTACTTCTGAAACACTTTTTAATTACACTGTTCTTACGTTAAATTGTTGATGTTTTGGACTTTTTGAAAGCAAAACTTTTGATTTATTTTCATAACTTCGATCCTCGTGCTGTAAATTTTGAGTCCGTTCGGAAGTACACATTGTATTTTCAAGTTTGATTCCATCTAAATTACTTAATATTTTGTTCTTATCATCGGCTTGAAGCTCCATGTTGCGAGAATTAGGGCCACCAAAATGACCTTTTGAATCTAATTGATTTGGAGTAAAAACAATTAATTAATATTTCTGATCTATTCTGATGTTCACAATAATCCATGGGTGGAAACAGTGGTTAAGATTCAATGGACACAATCGGAGAGAGAAAATAGTCAATTTAAGGAAAAGAAAGACAGACACTTGTTAATTACCTGAGACAAAAATAGTTGAACAGGATGAGAGAGTTTTGTTTAGAAAAGATTTGATGATTTTGAGAGAGAAAAAGTGTTTACAAAAACAAAAGAGCTGAAAACTTGAGTTTGATCTATTCACCATCAGATCGATTTTTGAGTAAGAAAAATTGATCGATCTCAACTTTCAGAAAATCGATCACCTAAAAAACCACGTGGTTTTCGATAAAAATTCAAAATTCGAAAAACTAATTAATAAATTTTTCTTGATTAAGAAATTAGACAGTGAAAATAGAAAGTATACAAAAGAAAGAGAAATTTTTCAGCCTTTTTCGATGATGAAATTTAAATTTGAAAAATCGAAATTGATCAATTTACTAGCGAAAATTGATCGAATCGTTCGATCTACTGAAAATCTGAGATCGGAACATCTCTAGTTACGATCACTGTAAACAAAGAGTAATGTGTTTCATACAACAAGCACAAGAGTCGATCTGATCTGCGTTCGTGCTGATCATCTGATCTGAGTGTCAGGAATTGAATGTGAGCCCCAAAGTTGGAAAGACCAATGATAAGGTTTGCCCATCATGCTAACCACTGGACTAAAGTTGAAAGTCTGAAAGTGAATATTGATAATGAATAGAAAGAGAAAACAACTCAAAATTCTGAGGTTTGATATTACTCTTTTGCTATGGAGTCGATTGATTCGATCCTTTGTCTCTAATTTTTTCTCTCCTCTTCTTCGTGATACTTAATTGTTAGCAAGTGGGAACAGTTTAATTTACCCACTTGGTGGGTTTTTGTCATCTCTCATGTCATTTCCTCCTCCTCCTCCTTGATTGTTTGACACTTTGTCATTCAATTATCATCACCATTGAATAGTAAATATCATTAGATGATCATAACAATCCTCTAGACAAATAAATAAATTTCATCAAAATCATTATAAATGTTTATTATTTTAATAATTTGAGTTAATTAACAAATTCAACCAATAAGTCCAACTACTTGTTAACTAAATTACTCAAACTTAACTGCATCTTCATCGCTAATTGTTAACAATCAAATAAACCCGAATCTCACCATGAAAAGAACGAGGCACTAATCAAAAAGGAAAATAAACTTGATCCTGATCAATTAAGAAAATTAGAATTCATAATTTAATTGTCAACCGATTAATCGATTGATTTAAATAAAATGATTACTCGATCATCAACACATTCCAATTGTTTCTCATTCATTTCTCTCTTGTTAAAGTAACAATTTAACTCTTTCAGTTTTGTTTCTCTCTCTCTCTCTTCTTAATTGTAGTTTAATTTTAAATTGTTGCTATGGATGATCGATATTCATATCCACCTAATTATCCTCCTCGAAATGATTTAATTACAGGTAAGTAGATCTTCTAATTAATTGTGTCTGTTTTCCCTCTCTTTTCAACTTTCTAATTACATTTGGTTTTTTTTTCTGTACATAATTTTTGTATAAGATTTTGGTTCTATCACCGCCATGGATAATTTGGATTCCATGTCACCTTATGTTTACCCTCCTCCACATCAATATAATCAATATCAATATGTTCCGCCGGTGGGCAATCCACCGACCAATTCATCTCTCTATTCATCACATTCTTCCTTCACCCCCAATGGTAATGGTCTTGGTAATTGTGGTAATGGTTTAGGAATCGGCGGCGATGGTGGTGGTGATCTGAATAACGACTCATTTTATTCATCAAATGTTCCTGGTGGTGGTGGTGGAAGTGGAGGTGGTGGTGATTCATTTGGAGATGAGCCACCGCTTTTGGAGGAATTGGGACTCAATTTTGACCAATTTATGGCGAAAACAATGTTGGTTGGTAATCCATTCAATTCCACTAACAACAATAGTAGTAATGATAATGATTTGGGTGATTTACTGATTGACAAGGAGGATTCACTAACAAGGTCACCCAATTCACCCACCAGCAACCTTTCACCTTCAAATGAAACAAATCATCAATCTCATCATCATTTACCATCATCTGAAAATAATTATGTTGACGACCGGTCAATACAAGTAATTTATTCAGAAAACAATTCAACTTCAAATCATATTTGTGACAATTTAATTGTATCAAGTAACAATCAACAACATGGTAATAATAATGGTAATGGTATTGTAAGAGGAGCAAATTCAAATAATGGAGGAAATGATGACCATGGTCAAGATAATCGTTCAGATTCAAATGAAGATAATCAGTTGATTAGTTCTTGGGAAAAACCCATGCCTGATGAATTAAATTATTCATTTGATTCAAGGATTCGATCAACAAATAATTTAACCAATCGATTCAACGGTAATTCAAATTTAAATCATTCCAACAATAACAATTTAAATGTCCATCCGAATCCACCACATTTATTACCTAAATTGCACACAATTGGAAGTGGACAATTTATGAACAGCGGACATTCAACTCGTTCAACGCCAATTTTGAACTACAATCAACACCATCGACAAATATTGCCCACCTTGCAGCCGACAACAAACAATGGTACAAATGCTGCGGCTGCTTTCACCGCTTATCCATCCTATCAACGTCCGATTGCAATTCAGCCCAATCTTGGGTATACTCATAAAGTTTCACCTCGACTTATCTCACCCTACATGACGACCAATGTCGGTGGCAGGGAGATTATCTTCTGGCGAGCGCCTCTTGGTAAAATGTATCAACAGCAAACAACCACTTCTTCAACTCCTCCAGGTTCCCATCATCATCCACACTTGGGCTCACCTTCACTCAGCTCACTTCAAGAATCAACGAGTCCCATTCATGGTCGGATGCCCATCATGATATCAGCCAGTCGGGTATCTTTTACCAATTCACCTCTTGGCAGTGATGATTCCTCTTCGCCTTCATCATCTTGTTCAACCTCTTCTTCCTCTTCTTCCTCTTCAACACCTTCAGCTGCTGGAATAACAATGGATAAAAAGCTTTATATGAATAACCCGCTATTGGTCAACATGTTGACTTGTCCACAAATACCTGGACTTCGAAATTTGGCTCCCGCTCCTGATTCATCTTCCTCTCATTTAGATGAGAAATCGAAATCGGAAATTCTTTCTGGCCTTATTGATGTTGCAAGTGAAAAACGTAAACGATCACATCGATCAATCGCAACAACAAATCGAGAACCAATTAAAAGGGAAATGCGTCCAAAAATTTTCGATATTGAACAATTTAAAATTGGAATGTTCCATGTTCAATCTTCCAATGAAGGATTAACTCGACGAAATTCATCAACACAGTTAAAAGTTATCTTCTCAAAGAGGAGGTTCATCTACGAATTTGCATTCCCAGGTTCTTACACCTGCGATAAAAAAGATCAAAACGGAATCCTCAGTGTCCAATCTCTGTCCACAAATAGTGCGAACTGTGGACTGAGTGGTGGTGGTGGTGGTGTTAATTTTGTTCCGGATAGTGCCAACAATAACACCTCTCGAACTCAATCCAACACTAATGCATCAACTGTCGTTTATTATGTGATCGCTGTTCCATTTGAACATGTTACTGGTTTGAATATCGACGAGTCAACAATGTATCTAACTGTTAATCGAGTTCCAGCTCTGTTCGGTGGTACTTCAGTTCGAAGTAAAGTTCTTTTTGAAAAAGCTCCACGATTTGATCCTTCTCAAGGAGAAATTGAAAGTAATGGTCTCCATTGCATCCATTTACGATCTAGTCAAGTTGGACGTTTACGAAGCTCACTAATTGAGTTCGATAAAAAATTTGCTGACCTTTTATCAAATAAAATCGATATTGATCCTTTCTCGTATCGATGTAAACTCACAGAGACAAGTGAAGATTCAAAAGAGGATGAAAAGGATTCAGATTTTCCATCAAGATCAAAGAAATTAAGAATCTCTTAACAAAATGTTCCAGAAATTGATTCGACTAAAATTTTGATTGTCTCTCTTTCCTCTTGAATCCAATAAATAAGTTATTTTTCAAATTGTTTACGATTACGAATTTGCATTCCCTGATTCTTACATATACAATGAAAAAGATCAATACGGAAAATTGAAACCCAATTGAAGTTAAAAATTTCTCGAATTATTTTCTATCGATGATAATAGATGGAGATAGTTTTATAAATACTTTCGTTTGAATGTCTACTTGAGCTGCTAGTCGAGAGGTTAGTGTCGTGGATTCTGGTCTACGATGACACGGGCTCAATTCCGTCTTATTACCCACATGAAAACAGTAAACCCCCAAGAAGTTTAAATGTAACAAAAATTGTAACAGTTCGCGGCAGGCGCCTTATAAGCCACTCTATCTGCTATATATAATGAGCGCAACCACTTACAACTACTTGATGATTTTCATTGACCAACAAATGAAAACAAATTAGATCCAATTGCAATTAAATCCAAAAGATTGGTTCGTTAATTGATAAATTAATTAATCTTTGAATCTGCATCTCTGGCTCATTAACAATTTGAAGTAATCAATGTGTCCAGCAACAAGCAATGGATCGTGTCATTTGTTTTTAAGCTTCTTTTCTGATTGTTACAATTTATTAATCATTTTTGACATTTTATTCTTGATGGTAAATGAATTTTATTGAATTTTCATTCTCTTCTTTCCCTGGTGTAAATCTCTGTGTCACCAAAGTGTCAAAATGATTGTCAACTCAACTGTTAACTTTAATCATTCTGTTTAAATTTCTGTTGCTTGTTTTGTTTTCTCATCTCTCTTTTTATGTATCTGATCCTAATTGGTACTTTTTCATCTCTCTCTCTCTCTCTCTCTCTCTCTCTCTCGTTCTATTTTCTCATCTGGATTGATCTTTGATTGATTTGGTATAACAGATAATCAACAAGAGGAAGAAGACGAAATGACAAAAACAACTTTCAAGCCGTTCAAATGAACTGAGAAACTGATCACATTTCCCCTTATAGTGAAACTTTAACTCTATGAAATAATCATTACTGACCACTCAATGACCATTTCCAAGAATACAGAACGACTATACATTAATATATATTAATATAAATGGATTAACGTTTGAAAAATGAAGTGACCATGATTGAAAAATTCACCAAACGAAACTGAACAAAGTTCATAAAACAATTGGAAATATAATTTTCCATTTTATCGTCCATCTTGATTAACCTTAAAATTGATCATACAAACTTTTTGTTTCCCTTTAACGGTTCAATTATTAACCAGGAAACAAATTTAGATTTACCTAATAATCAATTAATCATCAACATTTGACAAACTATCAAGGACACACTGGACACTGTTGGACCTTTTCCCTAATTAATTGATCACTTGGACGTTAATCAACTAATTACTCTCACTAGTCAATCTTTTATACAGTTATAAGGACCTGAAACTCTTACACTTTCCTATTATCATTCACATTATCGTTAAATATTAAGATAATCCCAATCAGATTAACCAATAAGTTGAACATTATATTATTATACTTACCTGATAAAAAAAGGTAATGATAATCACTTAGGTAATCATCATCAACTGACCATTTAAAATTATATTGACATGGTTTAAATTGTTATTATCACAAATATCAACTCAATCCTCAGGCTCTTGCACCTTGGTGATAATGATTATGATGATTATTAAATTATATCCTCAGTCTGTTTACATGGAGAGAAGGTGGAAAAGCTTAGCAAATTATCATGGATTCTGATGATTGTTATTACATGATAAATAATAATAATAATATCGGTGCATTATCATTAACACCATGAGCTCTAAGGCTCGATTATTATTACTCATCATTATCAAGATGATGATCAGAACTGTTGAGAAATTTTTTCTCTTTGCTTTCTAATAGTTATCATGATGATGATCGTAAATTGAATTCATTTGAAATATCATGAACATCGCATGTGAATAACTTATGCTTTCTCTCTCTCTCTCTCTTTTGTCATCATCTTATTTATTTCCATGGGATGGATTCTGTTCAATAATCTGAAATGATGATTCACGAAATTGATGAAAAAGTTCTGAACCTAAACTATCATTTCTGGTAAATGTTCCCATCTACTATCTGGAAATCGTCATCATGATCATCATCATCTTCATCATCTTCTCCTCTCTTTCTCTTTGGTGTTTCAACGATTTTTTTTGTTTCATCATTTTCTTCAAGGATTCATTTCATTTTTTCACGATACCAGGAAATTCAATCATGAAATTCAACCATGTTCATCCTTCTGGAATCAGAGGAAAATAAAAACAAATCTAATCCTTTATCGTCAAGTTGTCACTCTTTCCATGTAATAATAATTACAAATGTAAAACTTTTCTTAAGATGAAACAACAATTCATGACGAATAAGAAGATTATATGAATTTTCATGATGGAAATTGAAAATTTACTGATGATAATTTAAACTCTTTATTAAAAGGTTGATGGTTAACATTATTTATCTCCATAAATCCATGAGTTTTTCATATTAAACTTTTCCCTTTCATGAGACTGAACTTTTTGTTCACAATCTTCAGGATATTATTTATCACATTGTATCATCACCCTGACATGATGATTATATAATTTATATCTTATTGTTTCAAAAAGATACTCACATGAAAATTGTATTAATCATGAAAATAAGATGACAATTGAAGTTAAGTATCTAGATTAAGGATTGAACTGCTGGAAAGTGTCAAAACAATTTAAATTGTTTCAGATTAAATTGTTGTCAACAGCACAATCAACTTGCAACTTTTAATTGTTGATCATTTTGATTAATTAATTTGAAACTTTCTCTTTTCCTTCATGTCATATCCATCTCCATTGTTTTTGAATGATTGATTGATTAACAATCAAATCATCTCCTTAGTTAATTGTTAACCCTAATCAATTAACCTTACAACAAATGAATCGTTAATTAAGTTAATTACAAATCTTTTCATTTTGTGGTTTTCAATTAATCCAAGTTGATTTCTATCAACACTGATTGTTATTCATTTGAATGATGAGATTGAATAATCATGATTAACTAATTACTAAACAATAGTTAAAAACATGACAATACAATTAAACATTTAACTGGCTTAATTAATTTTCAATCTAATTGTAGTAATAATTTAATGTTTCTTCATTGTCTCTTAACAATTTAGTTTCCACTTGATTTGGTTAACTCATTTTAAGTCACAATTAATTAAATTAAATTGCATTTTCAGTTGATTATTTAAAAAAAAACGTTCATCGTAACAATTATTAAACTAACAACTTGATCAATTATATTTTCTTGACAAATATTAGTCCAATTAATTTTAACGATGATTAATTACTAGAAAAGTTAATTGTAATCAAGAAAAGTTATAGTTTTAACACTTTCGATTGGAAATCGTAGCAATCAGTTAATCAAGATAATAAATGATTGGTTATCAACTAGAATCGAGTTGATTGTTATAAATCATTGAATTAAATGAAAACTTGATTTGATTTATTAGAATTTTGTTTTGGTACAGAGAAAGAGAGAAAGTGAGAGATGAAGAGATAGAGAGAGAGAGAGAGAGAAAAAGAAAACGGAAACGGAAACGATGAGGTGAACTTCGAATTCGCTGAGAAAAAAAGTGAGTAACATTTTTTGTCTCTTTTATTTTTTTTTTTTGGTAACATGATCGGTAAAATTATCTTTGAGCGAAGGTGAAGAAATAATTAGATTGAGAGAGATGAATTTTTATTTACAATGATTAATGTATATAATAATCTCATGTAATCAACGGATGAAGTTGAGGTGGGTGATGATGTGGATTAGAGAGGATTAATAGATGGGCACCTCATGAGTTGTTTTTCCTCAGTGTAACTGGACCTTGATTTCATTTTTATTTGGCTGTGAAAGATGAGGATGTAATTATGATGATTGGGGAGAATTGGCTAATTGGAAGTTATCATGGAAATTCATTTGGTCAGTTTTTCTTTTCACCAATATTATGGTCAGAATCATTTAATTCAATGTTGATGGTACATTTTTGGTCCATGGTACAATTATTTGCTCTCTTTCTTTGATTACTGAAGATTAATCTTTCATACATTTATGATGAGAATGAACTGAGGGAGAAAGAGAGAGAGAGAGTTTTTCTCAATCCCCAGATGATTATCATGATGATTACTTGTGAAAATCGTATTTGAGAATTTAATTTCGTCGTCTTTATTATCTTAATATTATACAAGATTAATCGTTCTCCTTAAGCAATTAGACCCTTGGCCAGTTCAGAATCACCATGGATTGAGAAAACTCCACCTGATGGACGACGACTTTTACCTGGATGACCACTGGCTAACAGGCTTGTGTCTGAGTTTCGTCCTGATCTTGTTTGATGATGATGATGATCTGAAGATAGAGAGAGAGAAAAGAAAATTCCAAAATGAAAATGAATTAATTGTGATAATGATTAAAGTTGATGGAGTTAAGGATTTTGTGTGTATCTCTGATTCACGATTGATTTGGACACTGGTCAAGAATTGGAATAGTGAAAAATTCAAAAAGTTAACCTAATTTCTTTACTTTTCTCAGCGAGAATAGTAAAAAATTGTCAACAGTGATAAATAAATTGTTTTGATAAACAACAAGAACAACAACTAGCCTGATGATGACCGTACATGATGTTACCATGATGATAACATATGGCGGTGGTAAAGTGGCTTAGATGAAAAGTTCAGTTCCAATGTTCATGTTAACATGAGACTCAAATTAAAGGGAAATTTTTTTCTAGTTTTTTGGTCATCACCATGAGATGTGAACTTTTTTTCTCAGCAAAATTATCTCTTCCCTTTAAAGAAATACAATGAAATTGATTTTCCAAGTGTAGATGGATCAATATTATCATCATGAACTTTTACACCTTTAGATTGATAGCTTTATATGATTGGCTGAAGTTACCAGAATTCTGAATTCAATATTTTCTTTTGACGAGAAAATTTGTAATCTCTCTCTCTCTCTCTCTCTCTCTCTAAATTCAGAATTACAATTATTACTATTGTGTATTAAATTGATTATCTCAATGATTGACAAGTCAATTGGAAATTTTTGAGAGAGTGAGAGAAAAAGCTCTCAACTTATGTTTCTCATGAATTTATCATGCAAATGACGATTTGAATACAACAGAGTAAAAATTGAATTCAAATCAAAATTTCAATTGTAGTAAAAATCTCAACTAAATTAAAAATCAACCATTTGGTTGAAGAATCAAAATTTAATGTCAAAAAATTTGATTATCAGAATTGATTGATCTTTAAATTGAGTTAATCGTTGAGGGAAAATGAAATAATCATCATAATAATAGTTCCAGAAGATTAATAAATTTTATCAGAACTTTTTCTCTCAATTCTCATTGTGTTAACATTGGACATGGTGAAAATAACATCATGATGATTCTGATGAAGAAAAATAAGATTAAATCAGAATCCTAATGATCATTAAGGTGAGTTGAATAAGTTGATTATTAATCGTAAAAGGTAACAAAGTGTTAATTGTTGACCGTTAATCATTTAACGAGTTGATTGAGTTTCCTTTAATTGTTATGTGTTGATTTGATTGATGATATTGATGAGAGGAAAACAATATCAACAAATGATTAGCTGAATGTTAACCAAATTATCATGTGTTTATTGAGTGATTCAGTTTCATTTGCTCAATGAATTTCATTTTTTCCGTATCATTTCAATGAACTTAATTCAACAAGAAAATTACATAAATGCTGAAACATGATTAAGGCTTATCAACATGATATCATGATGAAAATGAACAATTTCAACCAGAAAAATGCTCTACCCACCCTAATCAAATGTGATAATATATATTATTATTTGTATATTTATTCAATCATTTGATCACGTTGGTTAAATGTTACAATTTCAATTTCACCATTACCATGTTTCCAGAATCAGAATATTGATTTAGAACAATATTTTCTTTCTCCCCTGTATCCCAATATTTCACCCGATTCTGCATTATATGTATATACTTTTCCACCCTGTGTTCTGAGTAAACATGATAGGATAATGATTAAATTGTGGATTGTGATGAAGATAAAGATGATGATGTATTGAATCCAGTTCCAGATTGATGGATTGAATTGCTTTCCATGTATTTTTTTTCTTCCTCTTTTTTTTCATGTTTCCTCATGTTCATAGTTATAATAATACATTTACAAAAGGAACCATAATTTTCCTAATCATTAAACTATAAGAAGAATGTTGTTTTTTTATCTTGAAATCGAGCAGATTATCATGATGACAGAACCCCCTGAATCTCATGAACCTTTTTAGTCATGAGAAAATGGCACAGCGATGATTTTTTTTGCTATCTTTTTCCTCTCATGGTAAACATGGAATCAGAGAGTCAGAACTTTTTTTGTTGTTGTATCTTCTTGGTTTCCAATATATTGGAGACAAAACAGAAACAATTGAAACTGAATCTCATGTTGATTATCAATTATTAATCATCGTTCACTCTTGATTGATTGATTGAAACAATTTTCGCTATTGTTATTTTTGGGTAAACAATTTAATCTGCTAATCTATTATTATATCAATAGGAAGAGAGAAAGATTCAATCTATTCAAGTTTTATCATGAATTTTTTATTCTCTTCCACATAAGATAATCCATCATTTTCAATTTTCTCAACTGAATCAGGAAAAAGAGAGAGAAAAAAAGTTCAATAGATTAAATTACAATTCTGATTCTTTGGGATGGTTCTCTGCTCTTCATGGTAAAAACATGTTCTAATCCTCAGTCTCTCTCTCTCTCTCTGTGAATTATTTCCCTCAAACTGAATCATTGACCATTGGGTAGTATTCATGATTCCCCTGATGATGGTGATGATGATTCTCAACTTGAATATAATCATTTTGACTTTTCCTGTTTTTTGTTTCCTGTTTTTGTTTTCACTTTGGCTCATCGTTTTACCTTTGTTCATGTTTATTCACAGATTATATATTAATCCCCTCATGTCCACTATAATCACTCCCACCCACTGAATTTAATATGTTATCTCATAATCTCAATCAACAGTATATATAATTATTATACAGAATTTCATTTCATGTAGTTTAATGAAACACAAGGCTGAATAATAAAAAAATTAGTTGATTATATTACTAATTTGGTTCTTCCATGGATTCAGATTGAGGGAAATTTTCAGTAACAATGTTATATTATTATTCAGTTTCAATATTATTATTATTATTATCATCATGAGATTCATTATTTTCACTGGATGAATGAATTATCTGGCAGCTTGTGATGATGATTAACGTTTAATTACATTAAGCTACTTTCAACAATTAGTAAACTGTTAAAACTTTCAAAGTACTAACATATTATTAATAATATAATTCATTTCAATGGAAACTTTTAATTTCCAAGTTTCAATTCCAATCAATTTAATTGTGTTTTCTGCTTTACTTTCAAATTTTATTCATACTGATTAATGAAAATTGCTCATCATCAATTGTAAATCGGTAATGAATTTTTTTTCTTGTCAACCTAATTGAACAGAAATTCAATTAATGACCAACACTCAAAATGACCCATTGAAATCAGAATCTCTTGCTCAATATATTATAATCATGATTACAGTTCATTCATTGAGAATCCATTGTGATTGATTCTGTTGTTGAATAGCTTAACAATTGTCATAATAGATTAACACATACAATCTGATAGAAATGTTAACTCATTGATTAATCTTGATGAAAACTTTTCATTATTATTAATTGGGAACAATTTAAATTATAAATTGTATTGTGATAGATGATTCAGTTTTATTCGTAATTTGTTTCATTCAATTTCTTCAGATATTCTCATCATCAATAGTGTACAAATCTAACCGAAACTCTTGAACAATCAACTTATCCCAAATATCAAGTGAAACAATTGAAATAATATCTTAGGTTATTAGATTTCAAATCTCAAACCCAAACCAAAGTGTATCTTCATCTTCATCTTCATCTCCATCCTCATCCACTCGTCATCATCATATCACCTTTATCTTCATCACTTTTGTAGTATTCTCTTAATCAATTGATTATCGATTTTCAGATTAGTTCGACTCGATTAAACCTCGAATACACGTTAAAATAAGCCCAAAGAATCGTTGTGCTTTTTTCCCTCATCCAATTTTTATCATCTTCTTCTCACTTTTCATCTTCTCACTAGTCAGTTAATCAAATTAACTTGAGAATGATAATATTAATCAGTGAGAAAAGTAAATTAAAGTCTAATAGCAAATACGATAATGATAAAGGATTGGAAAGATTATCTTGATCCGTATCCTAATCATGGCACAGATAAATTATTGGTGATTATTATGATTTAATAACAATCTAGTACATAATTAACTAGCCAATATCGTCATTCATTATTTAATCAATTGAGTTTCACTCAATATTAATCAATAAATTATTACATAATACAAATATCAATACAATCAATAAATTGTTACAACTTATGGATTCAGTTAATGATCATGTTTACTCAACTAATGTGTTGATTGTTAATTTGATTATTGTTTATAAATCAATATACATTCTGGTTTAATTATTGACCAGAATTCATGTTAAACTAAATTTGATAATAATCTAAATCTAATTTTGCTAGTTTAATTTTCAATTTACAATCTGAGGACAATTAACTTTACACTTATATGATGAAAAATTTAGTTGCAATCTTAATCATCAATAATTTAGTTTTCTTAATTTTACTCACCATAGTTTATTTGATCAGCTGAGTACAAATCTATTGATCTAATTGATTATGATTAACAATGGAGTCACTTTGCTACAATTAACTATTAATAATAACAACAATTACTAACCTTACAATATATATTGACTTAAATTGTCATCAATGTGCTTTTGAGTTAGTTGATTAATTGTCATGAATCAAATGACCAACAATCAAAGTGATAATTTTCAGATAATTAAATCTACCCAATGTTGTTAATCATTTAATGGGTAAACAATTAATCAAATCAACTTGAAATTAAATCCTTCAACCACTGATCAGCTCTGTTTCCTTATAAAACAAATGATAATTAACCGTTGTAATTGATTAACTAATTGTTATTGTTCAGAATTGTTGGAATTTTCTTTTCTCTGTTTCTTGAGTTGCAATCATCGTAATGATGACCGATGGTCAACCCAAGTGAACTTGATGGAACTTGGATAATCAATATAAATAAAAGAAAAAAAATTCGACGAAAAAAAGTTCTAACAAGTCGATTTATCAATTAAACTCCTAAAACTTTTCCACTGATTTAAATTAACTTTTTATTCCAACAATCAAATAATGAACTTCCAAATATTTTATATTAAAAACAATTAACACT